GCTGTACTGTTTTTATCCTCGCTTACTATGTAACTTTGATGATTTTTGCTTAGCAGTGAGTTGCAACAGTAACCGCAGCAATACTTTTTTGTATGGGATTTACTAAAGACGTATAACATTTTTACTTTTACAGTGAATTTTCACTTATCTTGGTGAACAAGATGAAATGAAGTAAAAGTTCACTTTGCAAAGAATACTCAATCACGTGCAAGGAAATGTAAAAAAAAAAAAAAGCAGGATTTTTGCTTTTACATGATTGGATAATTAAAGTCCACTTCACCTCATTCATCTAAGACAAATGAAAATTCACATTTCAAACATTAACTTAACCTAGTGAATGAGGTGAAGTTGAACCTTATTTGCTAAGAAATTGCTAATGTACTTTGCAGAGGGAAAATTCACTTTAAAGTGAACATACGCTACTCCTTTAGTAAATTTACCCTATTGCATCATTGAACATATACAATTCAGCTTTTTAACAATGCAGTAAAAGCTTAATGTTGTAGTCACATGAGAACAAAAATGATTGATGACTGGTTTCTATGTATTACCGAACTTTGCAGTAAAATGGGTAGAATATGGTAACAGGATTCTCCCCACAAATCTTTTGTGCAGTAATGTATTTGTGTGTACCTTTTTGTATATAGTTTGTAGTAAAATCTGTACCTGATGGTCATATTTGTAAATTACATATGTGGGCTCTGTGTCTTGCTTCACAGTGTTAGTCAAGGGTTAATTAATTTTTTTTTAACATTTAACCGCTTCCCGTACACCCTATAGCAGTAATACTGCTACAGGGCGGCATGTGTGCGTAAAATTATGTGTGTATATATACATGTTTTTGCATTTCTGGGTAGGGGACACACGCACGCTGTGCGCGCCCTACCTGCGGCCTTGGCTGTCAATTACCAGGTCCCGGCCGGTGATTATTCACCAGCACCTGGTGATCGAGCATTACCGATGGAGGGAGAGAACTGTAAGTAAACAATACAGTTACTGTATCTCCCCTGTCAACTCCTGCACACTGCTATGCATGGCTTTGCATATCAGAGCCATACAAAGCAGTGTGCTTACAGTGAATACACAGTAAAACCGCACACAGTTAACCCTTTGATTGCCCCACATGTTAGCCCCTTCCTGCACAGTACCATTAGTATAGTGTCAATGCTTTTTATTAGCACTGATCACTGTATTGGTGTCACTGGGAATGTCAGTGACACCAAGTCAGTTCCTCCCAGTGTCAGAATGCCTGTTGAAGTCTCGCAGTCCCGCTATAAGTCGCTGATCACTGCCATTACTAGTAAAAAATTTAAAAAAATCCCAGTTTATATACCGCCATTTGTAAAAGCTATAACTTTCATGTAAACCAATTAATTTAAAGGTATTTCGATTTTTTTAGCAAAGACATGTAACAGAATATATTTTGGCCTAAATTTATGATGAAATATGATTTTTTTAGATTTTTTTACATGCTTAATAGCAAAAAGTCAAAAATATTGTTTTTTTTCAAATATGTTGGTCTTTTTTTTTTTTTTATAGTGCAAAAAATAAAAACAGCACAGCGATCAAATAACACCAAAGGAAAGCTCTATTTGTGGGAAAAAAAAGGATGTAAATTTCATTTGGGTGCAGCGTTGCAATTGTCAGTTAAAGTAATGCATGTAATGCAAAAAATGGCCTGGTCTAGAAGGGGGTAAATGCTCTGGAGGGGAAGTGGTTAATATCCATGATTGAGTGCACCCACTAAAAACAATGTACTCCAAATGTGGCATATGTCTCTAGGTTTAAAACTAAGTTTACTTTTTTTGTTAAAAAAAAATCAGCACAAGGGACATAGCTTGCGTTTAATCTGAAGGTTACCTTATGCTCATATTGGCTGTCATAGTTGAAATCCTCTGTCTTCTCCCCACCCACATGTCCTGCAGCCTTAATCTTCTAGTGCTGTGGGGGTTAACAGAAGCAATGTACCTGTCACAAAGACTCATAAAGAGTGCCAGCTATGCCCACCCCTTCCACTCCCTCCATTCATAGGAGCTGTACTATAGCTTGCACGAATGAAAAGGTATCCATAACTGGAGGATGGGCAGATTAATGAAAGGTCTGCCTCCTCCATTGGTAAAGTACAGCACTTTTCATTCATGGAAACTATAGTACAGCTCTTGTGATTGGAGGGGGGGGGGGGGGCTAAAGGGCAGGCAGAGTCAGCAGTATTGATGAGTACCTGGGTCAGATCCTCAGCTCTATTAACCCCCGCAGCACCTGAAGATTACTACTGCAGGGTATGACAGGGAAGAAGAGAGAGGATTCAGCTATAAGATCTGGCACCATCACAGGGGACACTTCAGATTAAATGTATGTACCATCCTGTGTGCTGATGAAAAAAGCTTTACCCAAGGTTCAGCTTGTGGAAAGGCAACCAGCCATACTTCACCCATTCAGAACAAAGGGAAACATTCCCTGCACTGCTTCAGTTTCACATATTTACACTATATTGCCAAATTGTATTGGGTCAGCCCTCCAAATCATTGGATTCAGGTGTTCCAATCACCTCCATGGCCACAGGTGTATAAAATCAAGCACCTAGGCATGCAGACCACAAACATTTGTAAAAGAATGGGTCGTTCTCAGGAGCTCCGTGAATTCAAGCGTGGTACCGTGATAGGTTGCCACCTGTGCAATAAGTCCATCCGTGAAATTTCCTTGCTACTAAATATTTCAAGGTCAACTGTTAGTGGTATTATAACTAAGTAGAAGCAACTGGGAACAACAGCAACTCAGTCACAAAGTGGTAGGCCACGTAAAATGACAGAGTGGGGTCAACGCATACTGAAGCACACAGTGCACAGAAGTCACCAACTGTCTGCAGAGTCAATAGCTAAAGACCTCCAAACTTTGTGTAGCCTTCAAATTAGCACAACAGCAGTGCGTAGAGAGCTTCATGGAATGGGTTTCCACGGTTGAGCAGCTGCATACAAGCCAAGTTGCAACATCCTGATTTCACTCCCAACGGCTCCATGAACACATGAAAGTGCCGTCATTTTTATCCTAAAGAGAAATGAGGCTTCAAGCGTTTTACAAATGTTAATCCCAGTCCAAGATATCAACAGCACACCATGTTCACACAAAAATATACAACCTAAGTAGACAAACCTTTATTGTCACCAAAAAAGTAATGTTTTGATACCAATAAGGACCTTTTCTTCAAGTAGCAGTGCTGGTGATATCTTCGATTGGGACGTATGTTTTGTAGGTGCCATGTGCCATATAACCCCAGCTTCCATTTATAATTGGGTTGCCAATCACACTATGAATGTTTTGTATTCATTCACTAATATTATTATTGCCTATTGTATGTAGGTTGTTGGGTATTTTGGCAAACCCCTATGAAAAGTGATTCATGAAAGACTATGGGAGTGATTTACTGTAGGAGTTCAGAAGGAATCTTTAAGGTGTAAACTGTGTAAATATTCACTTAAATTATTCAACCATGTGAAAAGCAAATTCCTATTCACTTTGAAAACCCAATCATTTGCAGATGAAAGAAGTATATAGGATTTGCTTTTCACATGATTGGATAATTAAGTTCACATTTATTTGGTGATGATCCTCAATTGAGGCCATACATGTTTACAGTTACGCATGAGAACCCTTCCACAAGACCTGTATAAACCATATAATTTTTTTAATACACAACTCCAGTCAAGTTTAGGGCTCGTTCACACTTGGCTGTTTTACCAACGCTTGCCAAACGCTATAGGTCCGTTGGTCCGGCGTTTGCGGAGTGTTTTTTAATGCTCGGCAAACGCCACATGCGCGGTTTAGCGGCGGTTCCTAGGCATTTGCCGAGCGTTAAAAAGGCCACACAAACACCTAGAATGAAGTTTGTATGGTGTTACTGCTCCGCAAACACACCCCGCAACCGCATCGCAACCGCGCCGCAAACGCCAGCTGGGCATTTGCGGAGTGGCACCATAGACAAGAATAGGAGGCTTCAACTCCTCCTGACTCATCCAGAGGCGTCCGTTTTGCCACGACACGCCGCAACGCTACTGCTCCTGTTAGAACAGCACCATGTGCTGCAATGTGCAGAATTGGCAGAGGCATTTGGGAAGTGGTAAAAATGCTTCCCAAATGCCTCTCTGCCGCCTGCACACAACGCTAGTGTGAACGTAGCCTTAGTATTGGACTGAGTGGAGAATGAACAGAACCTTGTGCTAAACTTTCATTTGTGTCCTGTGCATCCATTTTGAAGATTTTCCATCCCTCACTTCCTGTCTGGACAGGAAGTGATGGGAAATCTCTCCAGTGGGGGACTGACACTCCAACAAAACCCTCCTTTTTTGTATAATAAGGACATCAAGACACAAACAGTAATAATCACTCTCTGGTGATTATAACTGTGTCTTTGCAGGACATGGAGGGAACCACTACCCTCATTTCGTCACCTGTGTCATACAGACACAGTGGTTGATTTACTAAAACTGGAGAGTGCAAAATCTGGTGCAACTCTGAATAGAAACCAATCAGCTTCCAGGTTTTGTTGTCAAAGCTTAATTGAACAAGCTGAAGTTAGAAGCTGATTGGTTACCATGCACAGCTGCACCAGATTTTGCACTCTCCAGTTTTAGTAAATCTACCCCTAAAATTAGGTGACTCTCCCCAATGGGGTGGGGAAGGGGGGCAACTCACAGACACAAAATTTTTTTCACAAAACAATTGAGCTTTGTATTAACTCTTTCAACCTCTGGAGTGAAGTATTAACTCATTTTGAAACCTATGCCAACCTGAAGAAAAAAAATTAGGCCAGATTGGGGTTTAATATGGACATGTTGGTGTTGTGCTATATCCTGAATACTATATGTATTGTGTTACTTTACTATTTAGCTCCATACATTGTTGGATTTATTTGTATATACTGTATTGTCATCTAATTACATCATTTGGATGCACTCTAACAACAGTCTTGGGTTATTTTGTATATTCAGTGAAATACCATAATCATGTGGCTCCTTCTGATGCTGGTGTTGGCTCTGATCCTCCTGTATAGATGGTACAGACAAATTCGGTTGCTGGAGAATCTTACAGATAAATATGTTTTCGTTACTGGATGTGATACAGGATTTGGGAACCTACTTGCGAAACAGCTGGACAAACGTGGAATGAGGGTTCTGGCTGCATGTCTGACAGAGACAGGGTCTGAGAAGCTGAAGAACGAGACCTCCAGCAGACTGCAAACAACAATCCTTGACATCGCTAACACTCAAAGTGTGAGCTCTGCTGCTTTGTGGGTTGAGGAGAATGTCAGAAATAAAGGTAAGATAAATATGGTTTGTTCTGTCCTCCTTATGTGTGAAGGTACATAGCTTGACAGAACAGCTAAACCTTTCTCGGCAATGAGTTGACAAAGAAGCAACGTCCAACTTTGTCTTTATTGCAAAGATATAAGAGGTGAAACTGAGGAACAGAAAATAAGGCGCTCTTAGTAACACTGTCTGCCATGTGACAAAGCATATTATACATTACAGTAAGGCAATGCACATATAAACACATGTAAGACATGTAGGTTACATAAAACACAGATGCATAAGATATAGACATGTGTGTAGACGTACCGACGATGCTATTGTGAACCTGAATGTGAGGCTGGATCCTACCAAGCATACCACAGGAATGGAGTCTGTGATGAGGAAATGGCTGCTATGGAGCATGGCTGATGATGTAATCAGAGTTTCATAGGCTTCAAGCCATGGAAGCTGAAATGGGTCAAACTTCTACTGTGAAAAGATGCAGTGTAATACAAATAGCCACTAGATGGAGCAGTTACACAATGAACAGAGAATTACAAACTGATAAGCATACTAATAATACCTAATTAACAAAGAACAAATTGCTGAAGGCATGACACTAGGCACCCCGTCTGGTATCTAAAGGATACCACATTAAATCACCCCTGGAGAGAGCAACAAAACCAGTTCAGTAACGGGTCTGAGAAAGAGTTTGGGCTCCTGTTGTCTGCAGACCTTAACCTCCCCTTTTCTGACTTTCCACATCTTCACTTGGGAACACCTTGGTTATCAGTCCCAAAAGGCCAGTCATTTCTTCTTGACTGAGAGTCTTTGACAAGAACAACATTACCAACCTCCATGTTAGGTTTGCTGGTTTGCCATTTATTCCGGACATGTAGAGTAGAGATGTATTGTTTTCTCCATTTATCCCAGAAGGTATCTGCTAGAGTTTGCACTCGTCTCCACTGACACTTGTACAAAGTCTTAAGCACTAAATTCGCCAGGAGGAGCCGATGCTGTACCGACTTTTTGGTGAGAAGAGTGGAAGGGTGAGCAAGAAGGGATCTTCTGGATCACTGGAAATTGAAGTCAAAGGTCTGGCGTTCATGATCGCCACTACTTCGGCCATGAAGGTTGAGAGGGTTTCATGGGTGAGCCTCGAAGTTCCCAGCTGTAGAAAAACAGAATCAAGGATCCGGCGAGCTATGCCAATCATACGCTCCCAAGAGCCTCCCATGTGAGACGCATGTGGGGGGTTGAATGTCCATTTACAGTCTTGGGCGGCAAGATATCTCTCTACATGGTCACTGTCAATGTTTGAGGGATATGCAGTTCTTTGCAGGCCCCAACGAAGTTGGTACCCTCTATCAGAGCGGATTAGTTTAACTGGGCCTCTGGTGGAGATGAAACGTGCTGAGAGCATTTATAAAGCTGGATGTGTCTAAAGACTCTCGATAACTTCTATATGCACAGCCCTGATACTCATGCATGTAAATATAACTGCCCAGCGTTTGCTGTTTGCCTGGCCTCCTCTAGGTGTGCCGTGTGGTGACAGACCAGGGACCAAACACGTCAAGACCAACATTAGTTAAAGGGAGGTTCTATACTGAGTCGGTCCGCAGGGAGGTTAGCCATCTTCTGTGACTGAAACATACCCACGTAGTTTTTTGCAAGTGACACATTTGAAAATAAGACAACTCACAAGTCTTTTCGCTCCCACTACCCAAAATCCAGCTGTACGTAAAAAAGCTCCTTCCCCCCCAGTTCCTAGGAGAGTGAACAAAGTGAACAAAACCCCTGATGTTTAGTCTTCTCATGGTAGTGTTGCACAAGTAAAGATGCAAATGTGATTGCTTGGAAGTATTATGGGGATTACATTCTTTACTCTCGAACTTTGCATTTGAAATACGTCCCCAACTCTCAACAGTCCATTAGCATCTATGAAGGGGGTCAAGCCTCTTGAGGGAACTGTCTTTAGGAACACTCTTCTTTGATTTTGGATGAGTTCAAATTGCTTGAGTATTAAACCTCTTGTTGGATACAACGGATGATAACGTCTCTGGCCTGTGCGAAGCTCATCCACTGTATGGCCTTGTGACAGTAATGCCAATCTTTGCAGTGATCTGAGACCTGTAGGTGTGGCTCTAAAGGATCATGGCTATGTGGATCAAGCCGGCTATAGCTCTGTTCAGTGATTTCCACATAGAAAACTTGTTGAATCGTTTGGATCCAAGCTCTTTGTGAGAAAACTCTTGTGGTGAAGTACAGAAATATGAGGAACGAATCTCTGCGCTCAGCATTTGGTTCTAATATGCTGAAATGAGTGTATTTCTCCAGGTGTCAAGTACAGTTAGTAGAGGAAGGGTGGCCCTCGTGTAACCACGTAGTATCTTTAAGGTGAGCTGCTGGAACAGCTTGTGTAGCATGGTCTGCTGGGTTGAGGTCAGTTGGGTACATAGCACCACTGGGTAGGCTGTGTTGACCTCCTAATTCTTTGAACTCTGTTATGAACATAGTACATAGAATCTCCTAGTCTCATTGTAAATGTATGCCCAATACCACTTTGCTGTCTGTATAAAATGAAACATTGTACTTGACAAGTTTTATATCTATTTCTGACACAATGAAGATTTGCCAGCTCTACTGCCAGAATCAGCGGCACAAAGTTCAAGTCTTGGTATGGTAAATCTCAGGGCTTGGTGCCAGTTTTGCCTTGCCCATATACAAAGCCAATTTTGGACTTGACCTTTAATGTTATAGTTTTAAGGTAAGCGACTGCAGCGATTGCTTTTAACGCGAAGCATCACAAAATATGCACAGCTTAGCCTTAGACTGAACTTCTGCAGGGGAGAAGTGGGCATATGGCCCCTATAGATATGTAAGTTAGATAATGCCTGTAAGAGTTTCTCCATCTATCCATAGCGTGCTTCTTTCTCTGAGGGAAGTGGCGAATCCACAATCACACGTATCTGTGGTTAACTCTCTGAGCAGAGTCTTACCTTGATGATCACAGGAGCTGCAAATCCAAGTGGATCATATAGACTGTTAATGGTAGATAAATCACTCCACGTCGTGTGAAAGGCTTTTGCTCTTGTTCGACCTGAAAGGTAAAGGTGTCAGATTTGAGAGGTCCCAGCTGAGCCCTAGGCTGCGCTGCATGGGTATCGGGTCTGTCGCTAAGTCTAGATCTTTCAAATCACTGGCATGATCTTGAGTAGAGAAGCTTCCATAACAACTTTGCTGTTTGAAGCTATCTTATGAAGTCTGAGGTTTGAACAGGAAAGCATACTCTGGGTCCTTTTTGAGTAGACTGATTGCAGCCTCTGGTGAGGGAAGGCGACTTTAAGCCATCCAAATCTACATAGAAGTCTCTTTCAACAAACTTCTTAACGTCTTTCCCATTTGTCATTTTTCACCCTTCGTGAGCAGAGAGTCTAGTCCCCATAAATAGCGACAGCTGGAGATGGGCTGTTGCCAAAAACATGGACCTTCATGCCGATATTCTATGATGTCTTTGAGTAGGGTCAATTGTCCTTGAACCAAAGAAATCTCAAGAAAGTTCCTGTGCTCTTCTTTTACTAGGAAACAATAGAACATTTGTTGTATGTCGGCAACTATAGCGATGGGTTCTTTACGGAATCTGATGAGGACACCGAGAAGTGTGTTATTGAGGTCTGGTCCTGTCAAAAGGACATCATTGAGAGAGACTCCCCTCATACTGTGAACTGGAGTCAAATACCACTCCCTCGGATTCGTCCTGGCTTCTTAGGGTGGTAAACGCCGAAGATTGGTAGATACCAGCATTCTTCTTTTTCTTTTAGGGGGTGGAGCTACTTCTGCATGATTGTTCTCAAACATCTTTTTCATGAATAAGAAGAAAATGTTCCATCATCTCTGGTCTTTTCTGAAAGTTGCGTCTAAGTGAACAGAAGCGTTTTAAGGCCTGATACCTGTTGTTGTTTGGAAGATGACGTCTCTGTGTTTTGAAAGGTAGTGGTGCAACCCAGGTGTTTGTTTTATCCTTGAAGAATTCCTTGTTCCATTATGCCCAAGAAGGCCTCATCTTCAATAGAGGGAGCTATCCTTGTGGTCTTCCTTTGTCCTCTGGAACACCGTGCACCCCAAGTGAACTTGGTCTTCACTGCAAGAGTGGTTCTCGGTTTCTGTAAAGTCAGGATATAGCACACTTGCCGGGCTTCTCTCTCTTAGAAGGAATCTGTTAGGACAAGGCTGAAAGAGGGATGGACGTCCATTCTCCAAGGTATTTGTGTAAAGAGAATTCACTGTGGTTGGCTTTTGTGAACATTTCCTAGGCAAACATCACCTATGAAGACCCACCCCAGGTCAAGCTTCTGAGCATATGGAGAACTAATGAGGACCATTTATTTGTTTTTCTTACCTTGTGGACTCTTATGATATCATCTCTCTCCCAAGGAGAAGTACTATTTGGGCCTTTGGGTCGAGTGCAGGTAAAAAAAATGAGTTGCGCTATGGTTCTTTAAATGTTCATGATGTAAATGCTAGCCTCAGGTGTAGGAATCTCTTCTCTATTGTTTGGGATCTGATTGCATTCAATCAGGTATAGGTAGTTTGCAGGGATGCTTCACTATTTATGGATTCGACATGGAAACCAGTAGCTCTTCTGCCTTTTTCTTCACTCACACCAGCGCAAGTTTTAAGTGAAATATGAAAGAGCAGTGTCCTTTAATACTGAAGATATCAAAAGAGGCTGAGTTTGCAAGAGATCTATTGCTTTGGTCATCAAGGATGGCATACAACCTTACCGCTTTCTCTTTATGACCGATGGGGTAAACTGTAACAAGACAAAATCTTGGAGCAAGATTTGTTACTAAGACCTTCCCACAGACTTGGGTGCACTGGGGTGTCACTTTCAGGAGGTACTGATGTGTCCCTCCTCCTCCCCGCGTGCTCTACAGCCTGGTCTGGGGGTGTGAGAGTCCATGGGGCTGGCCCAGGGTGTAAAGGCTGTATTGTTGCGCTTCACTGTTGCATTCCGAGCATTTGATG